CTCCAAATCCTGCCAGGAAAGCGGGTCCCCGACAGCCCCGAGGAGGTCTGCAGGATGCCACGTTGGCATAGGGCGTCCCCTCGCAGGGCTGGGCTGTACAAACACAGGAGAGGATGTTACCGGCTGCGCATTCCCCCAAATCCCCTCTATTTTCACCCTGGGTTATGAATTCACCAATAATTTCAGCCATAATCCAAGGATGGGCAAAATTTCTCTGTCTCGCTGCCGCAGGCCACGTCACTTATTGCAGCCCAGCACACCCAGCCAAATTTTTCGCCAGTCTCTGAAGTAAGGAACCCCTTTTAAGATGAGGATAAATGGCATAGGTCACCCGTTGCTTGCAAGAATCATAGAATGCTTTGGGTTGGAAGGGACCTCCAGAGAACTACTCCATGTATCTGTTTTCTTTCAGAATGAAAAAGGCAAACGTTGACCTCACTATGAAAGAGTTTCAAGGTATCTTTAGAAATAAAAGGGAAGAAAAAAAAAAAAAAACAGAAGAAAACCCCTCAGATTTTAAATGCTTGCCACACCTGATGCTGCCTGCGCCTTAAAAGTGCGTCAAGGGCAGTTTTGAGCCTGTTGCACAAGTCTTTGCTCTTAGGTAGCCAGGACGCCTCTTCCTTTTAGCGGAAGGCTTGCTCCCAAAAGGATTTTAGGATACAAATTTCCTCCTGCTCCGAAGCTACGTAATTCCCACTCTGACAAAGGATCCCTGGTGCAACTGCGCACTCTCTTTGCTTCAGGCTGCCTGCGTGTTTCCTTCCATATGTAATCCCAGCGGGCCCTTCGCTTCCCACTCCGTTTGCGTTAACCTTGAAGCTGCCCCGTTGCAGCCCTTTCTTGTCTCCGCGGGCAAGGAGCAGCCTCTGAGGCTGGCCAGGAGCAGGGTGAGAGGAGAGGACCAAGGAACACAGCTCCACTGTAGCCTTGGGCATGATGCAGCCTGTCGAAAAACTCGCTTTGGGCGTGAAGGTGGAATTTAAGCCCTGGGGATCTGCCATCAGGAAGGTTTGCTGTCGGCGGCGTGAAGTCAGGAGGGAGGGAAGGTCTGGGGACAGGTTGTAGCTTCGGAGGCAGGCGGGGTGAGCGCCAAAGAGCTTTCAGGAATGGCATTTAGGACTGGTTAGTCAGATTTGTCGAAGCTAGTAGCTCAGAGCCCTCACTGGGGATGGGTGCGCCTACGTTGTGATGAGATGCATCTACCTAATGCATGAACGTATTGGGAAGGGGCTCTGCTGGGGGAAAGGAGGGGTCTACCACCTTCCTCCACCCTGGTACCTCCCTGGCAGGGCTGTACAAGCAAAACTAAGTCTGACAGAGCTGACCCCACAGCACTGAAACTTCTCAAGGGGCTCTCGAACTTAGCTCGGTGGAAGCTTATGTGCTCCATCTAGCGTCTAGAAAGCTGAGCATTTGGGTACCGAGCTGAGGTCCCCAGAGAGGACGATCCCTGCCGTATGCTGACGGATCAACGGGCAGCACCGTGCTACATGGCCCTTGAGCAGCAGAAACATCCCGCTTTTAGCTTTTCCTGACCAGGGCAGAGGTTTGACCTGCTACACTGGAGACAGAAATATCTGTTGCTTCTGTTCCTTGGCCCCTCCTTAAATCATTTACTGTACACAAACATATAGTAATGTAGTAAAATTGCTTAAAAAGGAAGCTTTTGTTCAAAATGCACAGGCTCTGCATGCCAGAGTGCAGCCTGGACTCTTGAAGATTAATTGTTGCTCAGGGGAAAGCCCGGTGTGGGCTTGGGATCGTTGCAGCCCAAGTGAAGCACTGATGCAGATGCTTTGCCTATCACCGGAGTGGGTTTCACTGCAAGAGCCCCTGGGTCTCTGAATGCTCCAGGAAGGGCTTGAATCATGCTGATGGTGAGCTCTTCTTGCCCAGCAGGTCCTCAGAGGTGTTGGGTGCTGCTGAAGCCATGTGGATTATTCTGGCACTTGCTCTCTGCGGCCTCGCTGCAGCCGTGCCCTCGGAGGACAGGAAGCTGAGCGACAAGGCAACAACGCTGGCTGACCGCAGCACGACGCTGGCCTTCAACCTCTACCATGCCATGGCAAAAGACAAGAACACGGAGAACATCCTGCTGTCCCCTGTGGTTGTGGCCTCTTCCCTTGGCCTCGTGTCCCTTGGGGGCAAGGCCACAACCGCCTCCCAAGCCAAGGCAGTGCTCAGCGCAGACAAACTGAACGATGACTACATGCACAGTGGGTTGTCTGAGCTCCTGAACGAGGTCAGCAACAGCACAGCCCGCAACGTCACCTGGAAGATCGGCAACCGCTTGTACGGCCCTGCCTCCATCAACTTTGCCGATGACTTTGTGAAGAACAGCAAGAAACACTACAACTATGAGCACTCCAAGATCAACTTCCGAGACAAGAGGAGTGCCCTGAAATCCATTAATGAGTGGGCAGCCCAGACCACAGATGGGAAACTCCCAGAGGTGACAAAAGACGTTGAGAAAACTGATGGGGCCCTCATTGTCAACGCCATGTTCTTCAAGCGTAAGTTCTACTTTCAATTCTTGATACAAGTGACCCAAAACCTAGCCTGAGCCAATACGTAGCAGCCCAAATGGAAAGGTGAACAAATCCGAGGTCCACTGGAGGCATGCTCTTTTTCAGAGCGAGTAGTTAGGAACCGTGCATTAAATGACCACCCACTCCCTTTTCTTACAAGCTGCATTTCTCTCTCCTGTAGCTCACTGGGATGAGAAGTTCCATCATAAGATGGTGGACAACCGTGGCTTCATGGTGACCCGTTCCTACACTGTGGGAGTTCCCATGATGCATCGCACAGGTAAGTTGCAAACCTCCTGCCCCATGTCAAGACCAACTGGAGTTATGCTCACTGCTGCTCCGTTACCCAGTTTTCCACCAACTGCTTCCAAGATCATTTTGCCTCATGGTCAATGAGTGAGAGAGAACAAAGCAGTGTGCTTGCTCTGCTGATTCAATCTCTCTGTGAGCAGAGAGAATCCATGTTTGCTATTGGGTGCTTGGCTGTTAGGAATAAATCCTAGCTCATCACGCAAATGAGGGCCACAGTTTTGAGTTGTTCCCAACTCCAGTAATACCAGGCCAGTTCCCAAAACAGCGTTCAGACTCGCTTCCATTGCTGGTCAAGAAAAGGCCAGGGTGAATTCACAACAAGGTTGTGGGTAGCTTTGCCTCTGCTCCACATCTCACCATTTGCTGCTTCTGATTTCAAGGTCTCTACAATTACTATGATGATGAGACAGAGAAGCTCCAGGTGGTGGAGATGCCACTTGCTCACAAGCTCTCCAGCATGATCTTTATCATGCCAAACCATGTGGAGCCTCTGGAGAGGGTTGAGAAACTGCTGAACAGGGAGCAGCTAAAGGCCTGGGCTGGCAAGATGAAGAAGAGATCAGTGGCCATCTCGCTGCCTAAAGTCATCCTGGAAGTCAGCCACGACCTTCAGGTAAAGGAGGTCCTTAAAGAAAACAGTTGGGCCTTACAGTTCTTCTGGGTGGAAGAGAAGATAGTGGGGTGATGGGTTATCTGCGCCTTGTCATCCTTTCTCCAGCGGCTAGTCTAACCATGGCTGGAGAGAATTGCACTGTGTCATCTCTGGGAGGGTTGCTGATCTCTCTTCTCCTCCTAGAAACACTTGGCTGATCTGGGCCTGACAGAAGCTATTGACAAAACCAAAGCTGACTTGTCCAAGATCTCTGGCAAGAAAGACCTTTACCTGTCCAACGTCTTCCATGCTGCTGCTCTTGAATGGGACACGGAAGGGAACCCCTACGATGCTGACATCTACAGCCGAGAGGAGATGAGGAACCCCAAGCTCTTCTATGCTGACCACCCCTTCGTCTTCATGATCAAGGACAGTAAAACCAACTCCATCCTCTTCATTGGCAGGCTCGTGAGGCCCAAAGGAGACAAGATGCGTGATGAGTTGTAGTTAGGGTTGGTTTGTTTTTTTTTTTTTTTTCCCCAGAGCTTTCGTCTGTGTGGTTTTTAGTGGGGGATTTCAAAAAATGGGAAACACTATTTTGTATCCGTCTTGAACTATGGGTGCTATTCAGACCAGGGTGCATTGTGATGAGAAACCAGCATACACTTTACCTCACCCCAAAATACTTCTTGCACAAACCCACCTCCAGAGAGGAACAGGGGAGCCTGGCACAAGAGGGTCACCAGGAGTGGAAGGGAACTGGCACGCACTGTCTCAGCGACTGGCATCCTCAGCTGAGATGTTGAGGCTGATGCCTAGCTCCTCCCTGCACTAGAGTTACGCCTCCTGCTAAGTACCTTGCTGTTACCATCAGCCCTGCAAAGGCACAAGCCCTGCACCTTTCCACCTCAAATGCTTTGGCACCTTTAGCTCTGCCACTTCCTTTTCTCCCCCTTTGATGCTATGCGGCACCACACCAGAGCTGCTCTGGTCGCTTCTCTATCTTCAGAGCACAAAGGGACAATTCTGTGGTCCAGCCCCCCTCTACGGCCCTGGGAGCAGAGCAGGACCGTGACAGCATGTAAGAATGGAGATTATATGGAGTTGTGCCCTTCTGTCCTGCCTAACCCTGCTCTGGATGACTCTTAGATGCTTCAACCGCAGCAGGTCATCAGCTCCTTAGCTAGAACACTCACTGCAAAGCCAAGTGCGGCTTTGCTCAACACTTCAAAGAGAAGTAAGGGGCTTAGGGGCATCAGCAGAGAGGCCAAAGAGCAGCTGGGCTTCTAGAAAGATAAACCTGAGGTCCCTTCAACACTCTTGCGTGACAGAAATGGCTGTGCTCCACCCCTCTGGGGATCACGAAGGGGGCTGTTGGGCCAATATCTGGAATTAAACATCCTGTCCCAGGCAAGCAGAGGAACTCCACTTCTCTTGGTGCTTCCGCATCAGCACATAGGGCTGGGAAAGAGACAGTTACCACTGTGATGGTTCTCCCAATTACAACCAGGGCTGGTACCTATCAGCTCCCGTAGCAGGCCAAGGGACTTCTGCTGGCTTCTCACAGGGAAGTGGATCAGGTTCACTTCCACTTTTTGTTTAAATACAAACCTGCCGTTACCTGACTTCCTAATGACCCTCTTCTGAAGCTCCTCTCCTCCGTGATAGTTTAGCTCCCTCTTGGCTGACCTGGATAAGGGCACGCTGAAAACCAAATGTTATTTATAGTTATGCTCGTATTTATGTCTGATAATTAGCAAGTTTCACAGGCTGCTCCAGCCTAGACTTGGAGGCTATTCCTACCTTCTTCTCTAAGATATATCATCAGGTTAATACTATGTAAAGAAGTAACCGGTATGATCCCGTCAGCATGTGTCAGGTAAGCTGTGCTACGCACTGAGAGACATCACAAAGCAAGTAATGACAAGATTATTGAAATGAGAGAAATCTGTGCCTCACAATCTAAGTGCCAGTTATTTGAAAGAGCAAGGACAGTGTGGCTGCATTGCTTTTCTCTGGTTTTATTTCCCCACCAATGTGCTTGCTGTCAGGTTGCTACACAGAAGCCCAATACTGCACTATTTCCACTTATTTATTAAGTTACAACTACAAAGTCTCTTAGGTGTTTCCTACAAGCAAAAATACAGCAGCTTGCACGCCCAAGTCTCATGCCAGGTTTGCAAGGTTACACAATTGCAGAAAAGCTCATCTGCCCCAATTCCTATCCAAGCCAGCCGGAATGGGAGATCTTTTCCCTGCTCTCTTCCCAGTTCATACTCCCAAGGTGCTTTCCCCACGGTGCTGGGAGATAGGAGGCAATCCACAAGGATGTACCCGAATGCACAGGAAACCTAAAGCCCACTGTGTATGCTAGACGCTACCCGGTGAATCAGCGCACTGAAACCCACACGCTGTAGCACGTTAGGGAGGATTGGGGGGGGTGGGTAAATGGGTGGGCAAGGCAAGAACGCACTGTGGGATATTGTGAATATTTACATCATGTGGGTGCAGGTGTCCGACGGCTTTGTTCCTGTACCACACTGACAGTTGTATAATTTTGCAATAAAACTTTTTCAATTAACCTCTAGCAGCCACAGTGACTTGCAGGGTTTGGGTGGAGACAAAATACTCTTTAAAAGAGCTTAGAGAGGTTCCTTGGCATCCTTAAATCCAATACACCATTTCTTAATCTGGTCATTGTGAACCAAAATTACACTTAACACATGAATTCCCATGACGTGTGTCATGGGAAAGGAACACTATTGGCAGGGTGGCTTTTCAGTTTAACATTTTTCTCCTGAAACTCTAAGTACCCAGCATCTTTAATGCTTCACAGTAAGAGGACCTCCTGCCCTCCCCTGCTCTGACATCTAACAGAGCAGCAAATAGCTCAGTTAAAGAGAAACTATGGCAGTGTAGGAATAAAACTGAGCTATTAGCCACAGGGACCAGCCTTCCTGACCCTACAACCCAAAGCTTCTTTAGCTGGGATCCAGTTGAGATAGAGAAAGAACCACAAGAACCTGCACCGTTGCTTTGGGAATACAGCAAAGTCTTGGAAAATCCAGCGGCATCAGACCCTGCTGGCCCATATCTTTCCACTGCTGCAAACAGATTAACCTGCCATCCAGTCATGCACGCAACCTTCTGCCACTCAGAAGCAAACCTAAAGCCACAGCCATCTCCCCTTTTCCCCGTGCCAAAATAGCACTTATCTGGGATGGGCAGGCACACACATCCGCATGGAGCTCCTTACAGACTAAAAAACCACCAGGTGCTTGCCGGATCGGTCTTTCACTGCAGAAAATTAGAGCAGCCATCTCCAGCACTAACCATGGCAGCCCAGGAACACTGTCAACCTGGAACAGCAATATTGCAAGGAAGTTAAAAGCTTTCCAGAGCTGCTGAGCCCGTCCTACTCCCAGCTCGTCTTGCAAGCAGCTTTAAATACTCATCGTTTTCATCCTCAAGACACAGGGAACTGAACGAGTCCCCTACCTCTCCTGTAGCAGCTTCTTCAAACAGCTCGTGGTGGTGGTATACTCCAACCAGTGCAGGCTAGAAAGCTGTTCAGTTCACACGTGCAAACCTCAGCCATTATGGGATAATCCTTGATGTTGTCCTCAACTTCTCACAACACGATGGATATAGCAAGAGATAACAGCAATACCACTCTTAAACACACTACTTGCGCATCTCTTGATCTTACACACAAGCAACTAAACATCTCCTGATTCTACCGGTCATCAGCATGGTGAGATTAACAGGCTGATGGACCGGGTTGGAGGGCTCTAAACCAGAGCTGAGGGATCTCCAAGAAAGCCAGCCCTCACTGGAGGACTGCAGGAGAAATTTCCAGCTGATCATCATCTAGTATACAGGCACTTTTAAGAATTTAGATACAACATGCAAGGCCTGGCACTGTGCATCACCCCTCTACTGCTTCAGGCCTTCCAGCTTTCACACGTTCCCTGCTCCTACAAAGTGACAAAGCTGGTCCAACTTTTGGGGAAATTTTTCAAAATTCAAATTCATAGTAAAAAAAGAATTTTAAAATTAACATTGGTATTACTTACTCTTAACACTTAACATGTACTAACATTTTTTTAAAGCTTTTTACTGAAAGATATGCACGGAAACCTGAAATGAGATTCATTCTCTGACACCCTGAGAAGGCACATCTGTCTCCAACAGACTTCACCAGCTTCTCAGCCAGGCCGGGTTTCCAGGAGGCCTGCCAGAGAAGCTGGGAACAGGAAAGCTGAGGCTCGCACATCCACATGCTGGCAGACAGACCAGTTCCCGACACCGTCAGTTTGAAATTCCAGCTCATAAGTTACCTGCTTACCTCCTGCAGGGAAGCCTCCTGAAAACCGAAATCTGGATGTTAAAGCTATTCCTAAGCGGCAAGTTTTGCATATTTGGACCATTTTTGTTAATGCAACAAACAGGTTCTGAATTCCTCAAAATCCAAACAAAACAAAGCCTTGATCCTGCGCACAACATGATCTCTTATGTGTGTAACAGTCTCTTCCCATTACTGCACCAGACTTTGAAAAACACACCGGGAAAGGAGCTGACAGAACTAGAATCTCTGCCTGAAACTTAACCAAATGCTCGGTCTCACTGCTTCAGCTTTAGCTTGACCACAGCAGACAAGAACCGCATCAAAAGTAATTCATACAGCAACAGAAGTGAAAATACACCCCTGCCTACAGACTACGTGTTTCAATAGCAGAAGTAGCCTTGTCATCTATTATCAACTTCAGGATCTACCTATAGAATCATAGAATCGTTTAGGTTGGAAAAGACCTTTAAGATCATCCAGTCCAACCAGCAACCTAACACTACCAGGTTCACCACTAAACTAATTAAGGGTAATTTCATGTTTCCTGGCTTGGTGGCTGGATTATTTTTGAATGAAAGTAAAAAGTAGGAATCATTAAGGTTGGAAAGGATCTCTAAGATCATCAGTCCAACCATCAACCCAACACCATGTTATCCTACAGCTCATTAAAGCCAGTTATTAATAGTGACAAATTAATGGGCTGTCTACTCAAGCCTCAAAGGAAGACAAGTTTTTTCCCCCCAATCACTTAAATATATTTCCATCTCAAAGCTTAGGACAGAAGGTTTGAAAGCCAGAGTGTACACTTCCCCCTCGCCCCCAACTAATGTGTAAATACCTACTCAGAAGTTTGTCTCACCCCACATCAACTAACAGTGTTCCTATACAGTCTATAGCCCTGAAAGTCACATAGCAAATGTCTTTTTAGTGATGAGGGAAGTGGATGTACAGAGGTGAAAAAAGCATTTTGTAGAATACAGTAATACTTTAGCTGATGCCAGAAAGGTATAAACTACTGCAACTGCTTTGGACATTGCTAAAAAAGCTCCCTCTTCTGGAAACCTCGGAGAAAGGGACTGGTATGTAACTGAAGAGTTACCAGTACTACTCCATTCGTGGAGTGTTAGTCAGGACCCTCTAAACACCAGATTGCTGCTCCAGTTCTACGTAGAAATAGCATTTTGTCCCTACTTTTAGATCAGGATCTGGCAAGTTCACTCCAAAATGGTAACACAGGCTGGAAGAAACGCAACAGAATTCCTTCCATACCAAAGGTGGGAACAAGGCTCTCCTGGAATACATCTTGCCAAAAAAAAAAAAAAGCACCTCCACAAACACTGTCTTTTGTGATTTTATTAAGAGATGTCTTCAGGACACTCAAGCTTCTGGTTGCAGATGTCACCAACCCTACAACAAAAAACAAAATACCGAGTGAGATGGCGGCAAACCATTTCCCATAACCATTCTCCTACCCAAAATACTGAACAAACAACAGGCTCCAAGTTTTCAAATTAAATGGCATCTCACTTCTTGCACATTAGCCAACAATCCCCCTTTTCCCCACAGGAGCAGATCCTGCGAGTCAGACTCCCTTGTTTCACTGCGGCCCTGCAAACTCCCTGAACTCGCCGTGTTCACACAAGGCCAG